TGTATTGGTCTAGCAAGATCTGTAAATCCTAACAAATCACCTGTAATAGGAGCACGGACCTAGGAAGCCCTTTAATTGATATTTGTCCTTTGGAATAGGCCAGTTCCATACAGCTTCAGTTTTATGCAGTAGTACCATTTGCTGATATTACATAATTCAAGTGAATTCTCTTCGAAAGAAGCCGCACTTGGGATTCAATTTTAAGTTGCCTCCTCTAATCTTCTTTAAAACATCCTCGATATTTTTCACGTTTTCTTCAAATATCTAGTCCAATATAATGACGTCATTGAGGTATACAAGACAGATTTTCCAGGTAAATACTTTTAATACAATCTCCATGAGTCTCTCGAAGTAGTCATTTTTGAGATCTAACGTTGCCAGGATGTCTATAGTGTTGATTCTAGGTAGAGGATAATTGTCTTTCTTGTTATGTAATTTACCTTTCTATAGTTTACACAAAATCTGGTAGAACCATCTATCTTGGTGACTAACACTACCTGTGAACTCAGCCAATGGAACTTTTGGCCTTTGATAAATTAGTGTTGATTTTCTGCTGGACAATGCTAATTCTTTCCGTTTCATCTTCAGATGGAGGAATAGAAGATTTTTCTTCACACTTGGTTATACATTAAATAGACTGACATTTTCCATATATCATCGTATTTTTCTTTATGTCATTGTGCTTTGAAATTTACAAAACAGCATGAGTCAAATCTTGCTTCTTCTATGTTAAAGCTCTGGCTACCAGTAATTCTCTTTGGATAAAATTTAGCTTAAAAATTAGCTTCACTTCGTCATCACTTACAGATGCAGATAAAGCTGGGAGTAAAACATCTTCGCTTAAAGTTACTCTTCCTACTTGATTTTGAAATGATCACGGTGACATTATTATTTCGTCCTGTCCAGTAATAATGACACATTCTTGTAGATTTAGATTAGTTCTAAGTTCAATAACACGCCATTAACAATATTGGCCACAAAAACTTCATGACGAAAAAGTTTTCTTTCTTGCTGAGTAAAAATTGATCATTTAGTTGACTAATCATCTCGGTCAACATCCTTTCTATACTGCTTATTTATGACATGTGTAAGCATTTTATTATGTATTTAAACATCAATAAATAATAATAATAAAAATAATATTTTACTTTATACGGTATTTGGAACATTTGCTGCTTATTGGTTCACTGTCATTTTAGCCTCTGGGGATTATTTACCTCATTCTGGAATGTCGCCTGGATGCTTATTTTGCAGCCTCAAATGTTATGGCAGTACTTCATTGATTTATCTTACACCTGGTTAATGATATAGGCTTGCTTTGTTTTGCAATTTCGAACTCCCCCAATAAATACTGGGACTGCTAGCTGTTGGGCTGTTGTTGTTGTTGTTGTTGTTGTTGTTGTTGTTGTTGTTGTTGTTGTTGTTGTTGTTGCACGAATGCGGTTAATCCCAAGAAAGTGACGTAGGGGTCTTCTTGGAATTCTATCTCAACAAATATCGTACGAACATAGCTGTTGCAGTAAACCGAATTGGAAAAAATTGTTTCGTTGTTTTAAAATATATTATTAAAATTAGTGACTAACAATAACTGAATGCCTACTTTCAACACATTACCGTTTTAAAAAACTCGATATAACACCGCTATTCTTTAAACCAAGTGAGACATAACGATGTGAATATCGGTTTACATTTCTCCTTGGCCAAATCCTGATTAATTTATATTGTTATTTTTAAATTTAATCATTTTTATAATTTAATGAACATAATTAAAGACGAATTGATCAATTAAAGTGTTTACAAATGTATTAAACACAATTTTTTATGATCAAGTCTTGTTCGATTTATACTACTAAATTGATCAGTTTTAACTACATATTTTCAAGAACTGGCTCAGAGCGTCGAATTAGTATTACTTGATTAATGACCTTTGAGCAACGAATTCTAACCACTAGAAGGAGCTTTGTGTATTCTTATACATGTGTTTTAACTGTAGCAAACATCTAAACAGAGAACTACCTAATAAATAAAGATAGATAGTGTCAAATGTAAACAATGTGACACAACGGCAGTGGCGTACTGTCGAAAAAGGCAAAATATTAAAATTTACAAAATACCAATACACATTTGAAAGGATTACTCATTTTATAAATAATTTTTACATATTGGTGATATAATGAGACGGTAAAAATTGAAGTAAAATTAATAAACTGTTTTTACTATACTCAAGTTGTTTTGACATCAGTACTGATTAATTAAATGCTTTTATCCAACACTTGTATATAATGATACTATAATTTCTTTGGTTTTAAAGGAATAATGTGGCCTATAAGTCACTAGTGAGTTATAAGTCATAAAGTTATGACTTATAACTTATAAAACCCACCTGAAATCATAAAAAGACAAATTTTTGGTTTATTTGTCTAGTTTTTATTAGAAAACCAATTTGAAACGGTAATAAATCAACAAATAACCTAAAATGCTACAAATTTACAATCTACCTACTTACTAATATTAACATTAACATTTATAGTAAAGCCGTAATTTGATATTTGAAGGAGCACCATCAAAAGTAACAGAAACTATTTTGATACCTAATTCACTTAAAAATTCTAAACATTTTTTTAACAAATTAGCTTTTTCTCCACCATTTAAACGGTTTGTCAAGAAGTACCCAACAGGTATTTTCCAATGACTATTTATAGTTACAACCATAAAAAAGCAACTTCAGTGCCGACATCAACATATCCGTTTCCCATTCCACTCAACACTTTGCATTATAGACGTTTCATCAAATACCAAATTGCCCAGAATTTCACTGTTTGTTTCTCTTACTTTCATTTTAATAGCAACCGAAGCTTCATTTGTAAATCCAGGTGTTCCACCTATAGATCTGTACCACTTAGAAATTGTTTTTGTATGTGGCAAAGGCATGTTAAAACTTCTTGCATAATTATAAGCATCTGTTGAATAAAAGCTTAACGTTAAGGCAAACAACCTAAGCTCAGTTGAATACTTTTTACGAGATTGTCATTTTCTTGATCTTTGACAGATTTCACCTAACATTCCAGGTGATGATTCCTAAAAATACATATTGTTTCAACTTACATAAATGATACATTGAGCAGTTTCTGCTGTCATATTTCTTTTTCAAAAATTTCAGAGGGCTACAAATTCTGACTTTTAGACAACTCTTTGCTTGCTGCAGATTTCGGATCTTTACTGTTTGCATGTTTATTTTTTTCTTACAAATACTCCAATTTTTTCTTGCTCTTTTTGAACTATCCATATCAGAAGTATGGCATTCTCCAAAATATTGTGGATAAGGCCTTTTCCTAAAAATGATGAATTATCTATATTTTATATAAACACTTACGGTAGTGTTTATATAAAATAAAATGGTAATATATAAATAGGTAACAAGGTAGAATTTTCTTGGTATTTTTTAAAATGTACTGAATAAAAAAAATGTTAGATAGGTAAGCAGATAGCAAAATTATAGGGTATTAGTTGTAGATACTATACAAAGGATATATAATTTGTTAATTATATTTTTATAACTTACTTCACGTTTATAATTTTATTACGATTGGGTGGATCCATTCCTATTACTGATGCAGTTAAAGTTGATCTATGTTTTGGTGATGTGTCATTTCAGAAAGATCTGTAGCCTTATTTGTAGTAGATAACAAGCCTGATTGAGCACTCAGTGTCGATGACGATGAACATGTAGATATATTTTCTGGTTTTTGTTGCGGCAAGTGCAATGACTGTGTAAGAACATCATTTAGAGAAATATTTTCCTTATTAGAACTGTCTGATCTATAAAAATTAAATAAAAAGGTAAAGAGGTACTAGGTAACTGTAAAGGCTTTTTACTTGTATATTTTAATCAATATAAAAGTTATTTTACCTGCTATAAGTAGAAGCTATTATTGGAATAGCTATCTCTCACAAGTACTTTATACCTGATGGCTTTGTCAGAAAATCATTAATCGCAAAATGATCAGAACAAACAAAAATGTTGTCGGTAATATTGACATCACCTAGGGAGAGCTTCCACAAGTTTCTCCGTTCCAGATTCTTAGGAAATCTAAAAAATACAGGTATTACTCATAATATACTTATAATATTACTGAAACAGGAAAAAATAAGTTGAACAATTAAAAAATATATCTTTTTAATAATTTAGATAATGATTTAGTCAGTATTTTATCACTGCTAATTAAGTACTAAATGTAAAACACCCTTATGTAATTCCTCAAACGCCGCCCATGTTGCTTGTTTACTTACTTGTCAAAAGACCGCTGCTCGCCCCTTTTTAAATAAAACTTTACAAATAACACACTTTCTAACCATATCTTAGCACTAAATAAATGTCCATACATAAAAACTACACAACAATAAGAGGAAAATGCCACACTAAACACAAATAAACTCAAATACGTTAATAGCGGCTACACACTTTTCCTTTGGCAGATGTCATCGACAATCATCGAAATGCGGACGTAGGCGGGAATATAAATTCGACCAATAGAAATTTGTGTCTCCTGAAGTTCTGATTTATTTATGTACATTCGCAAACAAATGCATCCAAAGCTCCTTCTAGTGGTTACAATTCGTTGCCTTTGAGGCTTTAGAATATTAACGATTTTTAAATTGTAGATAAAATTTGTTCCAAGTTTCAAAAATTATTTGATAGAAAAAAATTATGACAAAACATTGTTAAAAAAATTATTTGAGGTTATGTAACTCTCTTTAGATCGAGTTTCCTAAAAAATGTCATAGGAACTTGTACTACTACTTTCATTACTATTATGAATAGAGTCGGCCCTTATACCGTTTGCTTATCGTATTCAGACACGTACCTACCTACGTATTTATTTATTATTTATTTTTCCTATTTCCAAAAATAACAGTTGTGCCATAATGGAGAGTAGAATGTAGGGAAACACCCTGTAACTATAAAAAGTAACGCAACACGATCGCCTTATCTGTTTTAGACGAGGTAGCCAGCCTAGCGGCGGAAGCCGAAAAGAAGGCACCGGAGGAAAGAACGGAGAGGGAAAACATAGCGATATTGGGGAAACCCAGATTAGGGGACATAACAAGGGCACAAATTAGGATAAAGGAAAGCAAGGAGTTTAAGGTAAGGAGGATGTTATTATATAATACACCTATGTAGCGTGCCATAGCGGTTTTATCGGTGGATTTTATGTCTAGACTGAAATGTGCTTTGTAATCGGGAGCACACTTTGCTTTCAGGGTTTTCGGCGGGTGGCCTTTATTCATTTGACGCCGCCGCTAAATCATCCCGATTAAAACTGTTGACGTAACGATGATTTCACTTAAGGGAAATTCGCTTTACTCACAGCGAACTCGCTTATTTTAAAAAGTCACCACGTTAACTATAGTGTGTTAATTAAATAAAAAACTTGCATTACCAATGAGCATAAAAGTAAATATAACTCGGTGCATTTTAAATCCTGCTCTTTTTAGACGGAGACAATAGAACTTTTTTCATAAAAGTTACATTTAGAAAAAAATTACTTTTGACAGGGATTTTAGCAAATAATGAAACATATTTTCCCTTTTTATTATTCTAAACTAATGCAAAAAATTAAAGGGGCAAAAGAATATCCGAAATTTGTCCGTGATTTTTGACAGACTTTATTTAGATGAGAAATGGTCGTATCGGGGATTAAAAAAAGCATTTTCAAACTCTAAGGTTCTAGTTTTTACATCTTTTGGTCGAAATTTTTTAGGAGCTACGGTTATCATGCAATTCTAATAGAGCGACAAAAAAATTTTTAAAAATTTTTCTTATTCCACGTACTTAGAAAATTCTTTCAGTTAAGCCATTGCATGGACCAGATAGTTTGTTTATGCACCTCCAATTTCCTTTTTTTTTAGATTTCAATACGACCATTTTTCATCGAAATATCGGACTTTTAATGGAAAAGGATCCTTTTGTCTTCAATCATCGATATCGAATTGAAGGGCAGCTTCGAAAACTGGAATAAATTGCCTATGACATGCTGCCGCAACTTTTCGGAATTTTTTTTTTCATCCTTTAGAAAACAGGAAAAAAGGGTAATTTATGGTTTTTCAGAAAATTGTCGGCTAAATTAGAAGTATTCACGAAATGACTGTGATGTTAAGCATGACTTACAGTATGATATACCCAAAAGAACCCTGTGAGGTTTCATCTCGATCTAGCGAGCCGTTTCTTTGTTTTAAACAGTCAAACTTTTGAAAAAAATTAAAGGGTCACGTTTTTTAAGCTTAAACACTTCATAATCATGATTAAAATGGAAAAAAAAATTTTTGAGGTATTCTTACATTTTTACCGCAAACAACGTTTAAATTGATGAAAAAAAAATTAATTTTGTGTTCAAAGAAAAAGTGTGGTTTTAAAAAAAGTGTTTTTTAAGTGATTAGTAATCACTGATTACAGACTGCATAAAAATTAATTAGAAATTTGTCTCAAAAAACGTCGGGGTCGAAATCTGGTTTGTCATCAACTTTAATTTTAATTTAATTAAAAGTTTTTTAACAGAAGCATAGGACGGAAAAGCCGAATCGTACTGGAATCAATTGGATTTTGTTTTCTTCAATGTCTGGAAGATAAACAAAAAAATACTTATAAAATTTCGAAATTTTTTTCGTAAATTTTTCGAATTTTTCCAAGTCCGTGGACTAAAAAAAAAATTGCAGAATTAAATGATTGCTATTGTATTTTTCGAAATTTTCCAAGTCCGTGTACTAAAAAAAAAAAATTTGCAGAATTAAATGATAACCGTAGCTCCTAAAAAATTTCGACCGAAAGATCTAAAAACTGGAATCTTAGAGCTTGAAAATGCTTTTATTTAATTCCCGATACGACCATTTTTTTTCACCTTAATACAGTCTGTCAAAAATCACGGAAAAATTTCGGAAATTATTTTGACTCTTTAATTTTTTGCATTAGTGTACAAGAAGTTGGTGTTAGTAAGAGCTACACCGTTTGCTTTTTTTTCTCCAATTTTTTATTTTTAGGAAAACTAAAACAACATATTTTTTTAAAAGGAAATAACCATTAACTTCGAAAAATAATCTCTAACGACAGTAAGCGAACTTTTTTTAATTACGCGCTAATGGAGATATTTAGTGATATGCGGTTGGCAGCATTGCGTTGATCATAACCATATGTTCCTGAATTGTTAGCACCTAGGTGTCTCATTTAATTTTCGTGATAATGTTATTTGAGTACAACGTGTTTAAATATTAATGATAATAACTAATGATATTGGTAGCCTTATTTTTATTCAGTTTGTTGTTAATAGTGGGAAATTAGAGGCCAAATTTCAAAGAAAAACACCAAATTTTTCTCAATTGTCGACGTTTCGTCACTTATCGTGACAGCCTCAGGACACTATAAAATTTAATAATTTCAAAATTACATCACAATTTATAAATAACAAACTTAACATTAAAATATTAAAAAAGTGTGTCTAAAACATTACAATAAAATGAATACAGTAATATCTATATAAACATGAAAAAAAANTACTGTATAGTTAGTTATAAAATCTAAACAAATACATGAAAGTTTTATATGTTTATAAAGTGTATCCCAAAAGTGATTTGAATTGTGCGCCAATTTCATTCCGAAGAATTGGCAGCATCGCGCAGGGCTACCTGTTGTAGTAAACACATTGCGGTTAGGGAAAATGGACAACAGATGAGCGAGTGAAGATTGTGAAAATTCATTACAACTACGGAGAGTATGTAGCCGAGACTGTGTGCAAAGGGCGAAGCAGCAAAAAAGTAACATCATGTATATCTGTGTTGTACATTTTTTCGCTACAAATAAGTTTGTCTGTATTTGTAATTTTTTTTCATGTTTATATAGATATTGCTGTATTCATTTTATTGTAATGTTTTAGACACACTTTTTTAATATTTTAATGTTAAGTTTGTTATTTATAAATTGTGATGTAATTTTGAAATTATTAAATTTTATAGTGTCCTGAGGCTGTCACGATAAGTGACGAAACGTCGACAATTGAGAAAAATTTGGTGTTTTTCTTTGAAATTTGGCCTCTAATTTCCCACTATTAATGATAATATTTGAAATGTGCTATTTTCTGAAACAACGATGCAACCTGAAACGTTTCAACTTTTGAAGCAAGCTTACAGAGATTGTTGTACACAATTTTACGAATGGTTCTCAAGATTTAAAAGTGGTTGTCAGTCAATTGAAGATGACCCTTGACCAGCAAGGCCGTCGACTTCAACTGACGGCTCCCACGTTCAGAAAATCAAAGAGCTGGTGCGTGCAAATAGCCGATTGATTGTTAGAGAAATTGCAGAAGAGGTTAGCATCTCAATTGAGCCATGCCATAAAATTTTGACTGAAAAATTGAATATGCATTGAGTTGCAGCAAAATTTGTTCCTCATTTCATGATCGAAATGTGAACGGCAATATTGTACCGTGTAATTTAAACTTCAAATCATAGTCGTAAAATTCAATAGTTGTCAAATATACATATACTATGTCACTTATAGCAAACGTAATTAAATGTAAACAAGTAACGTGAAATATGCCGGAGCATTTAACTGAAGCGTATAGAGCAAGGGCTATAGCTAAATTAGAAGATAATTGGTCTTTGAGTGAAGTGGCTGCTGATTTAAATGTCAGTAAGAGTTGTATATTTTATATAAACAACGCTGGCGAGAACAATAATTACAAAGATCTACCAGGCAAGGTGTCGGGAAGGTTTCCAGTGACGCGGAAGACAATGCCTTGGTCGAATTTATCCATAAGAATACCCTCTCTGTGTTACGCCACTAAAATAAGTCTGATTTACTACGATAAAATCCAGATGAAATTTCCATAACAACCAAAATGCGTTCACATTTGGGTGGCGCCAACTGTACGTCTAAAGTCTAACGAGAGTTTCTGTAGATTCGCTAGTGACTAAAGTAGTAAGCCTTTAAATTTGGCAACGTTGCACTTGCCTGGCTTTGTTTGAATGCCTAAGCTTGAAATAGACATCATATGTTACACCTGCGAATTTCAAATAATACGCTGCTTCGAGAATCGCGGCGTTGCCGCTATCACGCATATGGAAGTTAAGTTAGTCAACGACAGCAGTTTGAAGGAGTATTATTATGTTATGTATCTTACAAGTACCTAATCGATTTCTACGAGCTGTCATATGGTTGCTTAGATATCGGTTTCCTATTTATACAAGTTGCTATGGAAACTGTCAATTGTTGCGCATTCTATGTGGAAAGACCAAAAAAAAGAGTGCATTCTCATCATAAGACTCTGTACTAAAACGTGAAAAATTATTTTATTAATATCTCGTCTCTTAAGTATCCAAACTACTCATAACTTTTTTTTATGATTTTCTTCATATCAGTAAGCTTATATTAATTTTTTTTATGAATATTTGTTCGTCAATTCCAAATCAGATAAACCTCCTTAATGCTGAAAGGATGCCGTTTTTATACGGTTAACGACATCAAAGCAAATTCGTAACAGACTTTCAAGGCCATTTTAAATGAAGATCCACGACTGCTTCGCAAAATGGAAACATCGTAGGATAACGTGTGTAAATAGAGGACGGTAGTATTTTGAAGGAGATAAGGACCAATAATGCATAAAATCAATAATAAAGTTTAAAAAAATTAAGTTCGGTTATTTTCGGAGCAGACCTCGTATAAAGTAGCTCTAGAGTTATATAACATAAGCCCTAGTGGTCATTTTTGGACAACCATTGCTCTCTTATGATGGCATCTCGTAAATGACTTCTTTATCATGGTTTCATGTACAGAATCACCCTTATAAACGGAATTTCCTGGCACCCTGTACACTTTATATTACCAAAGTTTATAACAATACTAGCAAATCTTCCTGTATTTGACATTTTTATATGTCTAATTATTGTCATCGCAAATGTGTAAATCAAATTTATTATCTTGTTTTCTAACAGTAATAGTTAACGATAGAAATGCACTTAATTTACCTATAACTTTGTCAACTCAAAAAATGGGAAATATACCTATATATTGGTAGTATCTGCTGTATCCGTGCTAAAATTCATTTTTGCATTAGAAAAATTTTAAAAATCTCATTAAATTGATCAAGCAGGATTCCA